TCCACTGCTGTACTATTGACCATGATACAACACCATGTGAATACCTTGGGCTGTATTACTATTGACCATGATACAACACCATGAGGATACAGGGACTGTATACAACTGCTATACTATTGACCATGATACAACACCATGTGAATACCTTGGGCTGCATTTCACTGCTATACTATTGACCATGTTACAACACCCCGATGATACATGGGCTGTATACCACTGCTACACTATTGACCATGATACAACACCATGATGATACATGGGACTGTATTCCACTGCTACACTATTGACCATGATACAACACCATGTGGTTACATGGGACTGTATTCCACTGCTATACTATTGACAATGATACAACACCATGTGGATGCCTGGGACTGTATTCCACTGCTATACTATTGACCAAGATACAACACCATGTGGTTACATGGGCTGTATACCACTGCTATACTATTGACCATGATACAACATCACGATGATACATGGGCTGTATACCACTGCTTTACTATTGACCATGATACAACACCATGAGGATACAGGGACTGTATTCCAATCATTCCTACTGACTATTGACAATGATACAACACCATGTGGATGCCTGGGGCTGTATTCCACTGCTATACTATTGACCATGATACAACACAATGTGGATGCCAGGGGCTGTATCTCACATCTATACTATTGACCATGATCCAACACCATGTGGATACATGGGGCTGTATTCCACTGCTATACTATTGACCATGATAAAACACCATATGGATGCCTGGGACTGTATTTCACTGCTATACTATTGACCATGATACAACACCACGAGGATACAGGGACTGTATTCCAATCATTCCTACTGACTATTGACAATGATACAACACCATGTGGATGCCTGGGGCTGTATTCCACTGCTATACTATTGACCATGATACAACATCATGTGGTTACATGGGGCTGTATTCCACTGCTGTACTATTGACCATGATACAACACCATCTGAATACCTTGGGCTGTATTTCACTGCTATACTATTGACCAAGATACAACACCATGATGATACAGGGACTGTATACCACTGCTATACTATTAACCATGATACAACACCATGAGGATACAGGGACTGTATACAACTGCTATACTATTGACCATGATACAACACCATGTGGATACAGGGACTGTATACCACTGCTATACTATTGACCACGATACAACACCATGAGGATACAGGGACTGTATACCACTGCTATACTATTAACCATGATACAACACCATGAGGATACAGGGACTGTATACAACTGCTATACTATTGACCATGATACAACACCATATGGATGCCTTGGGCTGTATTTCACTGCTATACTATTGACCATGATAAAACACCATATGGATGCCTGGGACTGTATTTCACTACTATACTATTGACCATGATACAACACCATGAGGATACAGGGACTGTATACCACTGCTATACTATTAACCATGATACAACACCATGAGGATACAGGGACTGTATTCCAATCATTCCTACTGACTATTGACAATGATACAACACCATGTGGATGCCTGGGGCTGTATTCCACTGCTATACTATTGACCATGATAAAACACCATATGGATGCCTGGGACTGTATTTCACTGCTATACTATTGACCATGATAAAACACCATATGGATGCCTGGGACTGTATTTCACTACTATACTATTGACCATGATACAACACCATGTGGATACAGGGACTGTATACCACTGCTATACTATTGACCACGATACAACACCATGAGGATACAGGGACTGTATACCACTGCTATGCTATTGACCATGATACAACACCATGTGGATACAGGGACTGTATACCACTGCTATACTATTAACCATGATACAACACCATGAGGATACAGGGACTGTATACAACTGCTATACTATTGACCATGATACAACACCATGTGGATACAGGGACTGTATACCACTGCTATACTATTGACCACGATACAACACCATGAGGATACAGGGACTGTATACAACTGCTATACTATTGACCATGATACAACACCATATGGATGCCTTGGGCTGTATTTCACTGCTATACTATTGACCAAGATACAACACCATGATGATACAGGGACTGTATACCACTGCTATACTATTGACCAATATACAACACCGTGATGATACATGGGCTGTATACCACTGCTATACAACTGACCATGATACAACACCATGTGGATACATAGGCTGTATACCACTGCTATACTACTGACCATGATACAACACCATGTAGATACATGGGCTGTATACCACTGCTATACTATTGACCATGATACAACATCACGATGATACATGGGCTGTATACCACTGCTTTACTATTGACCATGATACAACACCATGAGGATACAGGGACTGTATTCCAATCATTCCTACTGACATATGGAGACGTTTACCGTAACACACTCTGTAAGACGTTATCAATGTGGACTTTTAAGTGGTGTGATGTCACACCTTCATTTTTACCGTGAGAAATGGACACAATCACAACAAAGTAAAACCGTTTTTGTATCTGATATAATAGATTTATTTTATTTTTGGAAGGTAAAAAAGCAATCACATCTAAGTACATTGTGCATAATATGTTTATATAAAAAATAAAGTGATTTATAACTAGTACATGCGCAGCAAAATACTATTTCTAAACATTTTCTTCAGGTTGGCTATACTTGGGTATTGAAAATATTCTCGCACAATACTGGCACAATACTCGGGTATTGAAAATATTATGAAAGTATTCTTGTTATACAACCAATAAGTGTTGTTATGGGACGTTTCGATGACTAGTACGGTATGTTCTCTGTCACCTTCATCAAACAAATGCCCAGTGAAGCGTATGTATACAAATGTGTGAAATGTGTACGAGTTGTCCACAAATTAATGTCGATTCGGCTACGCTGTTAGCGAATGTACAATTAGTGTTATATATGTACCGAAATGATTCGATTCAGATTCAAGTATAAGAACAAAACCAAAGGTCAAGTGGTCAGCCCGTATATAAAGGGTATATCCGAAACCATCCAGAGGATATATCGCGGTCATGACATAGCAACAGCTATGAAGCCCCACATCACGCTTCGTAAATCGTAGTACACTCTAGGGATAAAACACATAAAGAAAACGTCGCAGAATGCGTATACAAAATCGGATACAAAAACTGCGACGCATCGTATATTGGAGATTCTGGAAGGCGATTTGGGGTCCGCCTTGGTGAACACCGGAAAGATACGGAAACCCAAGAAGGAAAAAAATTCACCCGATCAGAAAGAATTGGCATACAGAAAAATCGTCTGGGATAACTCTAAAGTATTGGACAGAGAGAGAGCAAGCTATTCTAGCGATAGATAAAGGAAGCCATTTGGATACACAGCAGTGGGCCAGTTCTAAATCGAGATGAGGGAGATCATATACTTTGGCACACCCATTACCAATTATTAAACAAAGCGTAGCTGAATCGAGTCATTTCGATACATATGTAACAACTAATTGTACTACGCTTACAGCGTAGTAGAATACCGTCCTAGTCATTCGAAACGTCACATAAAAACACTTATTGGTTGTGTAACGAGAATATTTTCATATCCCAATATGGTTCTGCTGTTACAAGATATATTGAAATTTATAAATAAAGTCTCGAACAAACACATCTTAAAAAAATCCGCGATTGTTAAATGTCATATACTTAATTGGAGACGTTTCCGAATCCCACACGTGCAAATTGTATTGCAGTAATAAAACTCTTCTTAAAAGCTTGATAGTCACTGTTTCCTTGTGGCAAGATGAGAGTAGCATTACACGCTGTGGCCTCCGGTAAAGTCCTTTCTGAATTTAGGTTAAAGGTCACCGCCAGATCCATTTGCCTGAGAGGGGGGTCTAGGACACCAGTCATGAAGAAAAACAGGTACCCGGCATCCTCATCTGTTATAAGGGTAAAACAACATACCATAGATTAAATACTAAATACAACGAGATAGGATTAGGATAGATGTAGAAAACCTGCCTAGTTCAACAGCATGCGCGACATGATTTTATATAGTAAAATTAGAGTTGGAATACACGGATGTTATTTGGAATTTTTCATAAGTCATCAACGTTAAGTAAGATAGGACATAAAGTCGGAATATTAAGAGGTTGGGTTTGAAAACCTGTCTAAACTGACTCATACGTTCAATAAAATATGTCCAGGGTGTTTAACTGACATAAAGACAGTAAGCAAAACTGTGTAAACTTGTATCAACATACAGCGAACCACGTGTTAGCTGACTCGGACATACCGTGTAATCTGTCCAAATTAAACAATACCCAACATCTCCTTTTTGAATAAGTATAAACTAAATACTGGAAAGTATAATCTAATTCGAAATACACATATACAAAAAAAAACTGTTTATGTGTAGCCGGTGGCGCACTGGATACTCGCCGTTCACAAAGGCGGTCGGGGTTCGAATCTCCGATCAAACGAGAAAAGGTATATGGGGTCACCTACCCGACCCCGTTGGTTTTCTGCAGGTACTTCGGGTTTTTTCCACATTAAGACTCCCCGCGCGCAAACATCCGGGCCAACAATGGTGATAAATATAAGTAGAAAAAGCTTGTTTCGAAATGTTTGTAAAATTGATTAAGTTTATATTTATGTTTTTGTCAATTTGGACAGGTTCAACTTTACACCTAAACGATCAATGATCTTACCCGTGATTTCTCCCAACAATATCTCAAAGTAGTTCTTGGCCTCGCCTTCCTTCTTATTGTTGACTCTTAGTCTAGCTAGGGAGTCGGATAGCATCGCCCTTAGGTAGTTGGCCGTCACACAGTACTCGCCTGAGAACACCAGCAAACATTTGAGCAGTTTGTTGGTCTTGAGGGAGTCCAAAAACTTCTTGTAATTGAGTCCCTCTTTTAATTGGTCTATAGCTGTGCGACGTTTTTCTATCACACTCCACTTAGCCAAGTGATGAACTAAATCATCTCGGTTCTTCATCTGAATTAAATGTAAGCGATACGTATTATATACACACAGGGTTAACTAAACGTATATTGATTTAGCCTCAAATAATAGCATGAAAGAAAATCATGCCATTGCATTATGTACATGAATAATGGTGTGCAAGTCAATGTGTATATAATAGTCACCTCGTATTTTACCATACATATTCAATTTTAAAACAAAGTTTCCTCTTTGACATTTTACATAAAAGTATCTGTACCTGGACTGGTCGGCCCTCTGGCCAGCCTATACCGCTGATACAAACGCCTGCCTCTGAACTAACAACGTTTGTGACGTCATCATCCGTTCTAGCCGCCATTAACTACAAAAAAAAGTATTAAAACATATGACAAGTTATTTCCTATATTCAAACTTTGTATTGAACCATGCCCGCTATTGTTACTTTTGTTTCATGAGATATTTCATTTTACATCAATTTGTGAATTAGTTAGCAGCAACATGTATCAGTGATGGTTTCTTTCACGAAATCAAAGCTTATAATTACATGAGCTGGTGACTGTTAAATGTTTGTAACACATTAAAAACATAAACAATGTTTGTGAAGATAAAGTTATTCCCTCGATTCGTGTTGCAGAAATCCTTTTTTGTTCCTGCATCTAGGTTTAATGATATGATATAAATGTCTCAGTACCAGACATAGAACTTACTTTTGTTAAGATGTCAATTATTTCATTACTTCAGAAATATTCAATGAATAAATGGTAAGACAAACAGTTTGTTTTGATCCTGTAAATTGATTGACTTTATGAACAAATCAGTGAAGACCTTGAGGCATGGTGTCGCTCTCATTAGTTCAATAATTATGCATTGAAGCAATGTTAAAAAACTATTGAAATGAGGATTGTCACCAGGTTATAACCTACAGCGCATATTGCTGGCTGCTTGGATTTCGTTGTAACCTTTGTCATACCTGCGGAGACCACCTTCTAACCTTTGTCATACCTGCTGAGACCACCTTCTTACCTTTGTCATACCTGCTGAGATGTCCTTCTTACCTTTGTCATACCTGCTGAGATATCCTTCTTACCTTTGTCATATCTGCTGAGATGTCCTTCTTACCTTTGTCATACCTGCTGAGATGTCCTTCTTACCTTTGTCATACCTGCTGAGGTTTCCTTCTTACCTTTGTCATACCTGCTGAGGTTTCCTTCTTACTTAATTTCGTTCTTTCCTTTGTCATACCTGCTGAGATGTCCTTCTCACCTTTGTCAAACCTGCTGAGGTTTCGTTCGAACCGTAGTCATACCTGCTGAGGTTTCGTTCTTACTTAATTTCGTTCTTTCCTTTGTCATACCTGCTGAGATGTCCTTCTTACCTTTGTCAAATCTGCTGAGGTTTCGTTCGAACCGTAGTCAACACCTGCTGAGGTTTCGTTAGAACCTTGGTCTAACCTACTGAAATTTCGTTTTAAAATGTAGTTTACCAGCTGAGATTTCGTTGTTACTTTGTCTATACCAGCTGAGATTTCGTTGTTACCTTGTCTATACCTGCTAAGATTTCGTGATAACCTTGACCTTACTAGCTAAGATTTCGTTGAAAATTTGAACTTACCTGCTGAGTAAAATGAAGGATATCCGGATCTGGAATATCTTCCATTCTGAGGTATTTTTCATACTCGTTATCCCCAATAATGAAGTGGTACAGAGCTTCATTCAGGTACGGAAATCCACAGTCGCCATTTACAATAGCTTCTACTATGGCAACACCAAGGGCAGACAACTGTTTCTCACTTGTCTTGTTGATTTCGTTTGAAGGCACTAGACGCCTCCCGACCCCTACCCAGAGTCTCTCCTCGAATAGGCAGCTATGGAAGAACATGGAATAAAATTCCCTCCTCAGGGCGTTTCCATCGTAAGGATCCTCGTTCTTGAAAAGGATCCATGGAGATTCGTGGACTTGCTCCGGCTTTAAGAACTTGTTTTTGTAGTGACATATTGCAATGGTAAATAGCTGAGGTCTGTCCACTTCAATGACAAATTTTGTTATATTGTCACCGATGATGTCTTCCGTAGCCTTCCTCAAAGCATGCACGTTGTCTACCAGGTCTTAAAAACAATATTTCTTAATTAGCGGTATAGATATACATTAAACATATTGGTTAAAACATAAAAGCAACCTATCGAGTTGTAATTAATTAATTAGATTCCTGACATTTATATAAATAAAGTATCATGGAAGGATTCCCAACTTGACGCTTGAATGACTAAATTGACCGATCAGATCTCGTGTTGCTCTTATTATTTCGGTGTTCGTGAAGTTGTGTACACGTACCTAAGTATGTGGATATGTTTCAAAACAATAATATTCAAACCTCTCTTTTAAATTTTGAAACCTGACGTGTACCCGTTCTTTGTTATTTAAAGAACAAATCACAACACTATATAGATTATTGGATGCAAAGCCGAAAATGATTTATGCAAACATGGTAATCATGGAGAAACAGTACAACACTACTTCTTTTCATTTGTTGAATTTTATATCATTTTAAAACGTGGTTAGCATGCGGTTCGTGACAACTTTAACAGTGCCACCGTCATTGTAAAAACATGTGTTAGTTGTGCGAATCCTTTTCTAGCCTAGGTATAGCAATTAAAATGGTCTCTGAACGAAATTTTATTATTCCATAAACATAGTGGAAAACACTTACCGATAATTAAGAACGTAGAACGAGAAAACACACATTATTTAGATTGTCGAGGGTAGACAAGACTTCATTGTCACCAGTCAGGTATTTCAGTATTATAATATGGCACTTAAAATTACTCGTCGGCTGCATGATTCAGCACGTACAGATTAGCTTATAACAACCAATATACCTCTAACTGTCAGGTAAATAACATTATACCGTCGGGAGTAACAACCAATATACCTCTTACTGTCAGGTAAATTACTATTAGTAACACTAACCTCCTACTGTTAGTAACATTAACCTCTTACTGTAGGTAACACATAACTCCTACTGTCAGTAACACTTACCTCCTACTGTCAGTAACATTTACCTCCTACTGTCAGTAACACTTACCTCCTACTGTCAGTAACACCTACCTCCTACTGTCAGTAACACATACCTCCAACTGTCAGTAACACATACCACCAACTGTCAGTAACACATACCTCATACTGTCAGTAACACATACCTCCTTCTGTCAGTAACACATACCTCCTACTGTTAGTAACACATACCTCCTACTGTCAGTAACACATACCTCCTACTGTCAGTAACACATACCACCAACTGTAAGTAACACTTACTTCCTACTGTCAGTAACACTTACCTCCTACTGTAACTAACACATACCTCCTACTGTCAGTAACACATACCACCTACCACCAACTGTAAGTAACACTTACTTCCTACTGTCAGTAACACATACCTCCTACTGTTAGTAACACTAACCTCCTACTGTCAGTAACACTTACCTCCTACTGTCAGTAACACATACCTCCTACTGTCAGTAACACTTACCGCCTACTGTAGTGACACTAACCTCCTACTGTCAGTAACACTAACCTCATACTGTCAGTAACACATACCTCCTATTGTCAGTAACACATACCCCTTACTGTTAGTAACACTTACCTCCTACTGTCAGTAACATATACCTCCTACTGTCAGTAACACTTACCGCCTACTGTAGTAACGTATTCTAAGTTCCCAGTGGACCTTGGTAACCCTCGACTTTCATTCGGAAAAGTCTACAACTCGGGATTAGTCTAGCTTTTTTAGTATAAAGTAATATGTTCTTTCTTAAAACAATCTTTTAAAATTTATGCCTTAATATAATAATTAATATTTTAAAATATCAACTAAACGTATTGATTACTTTCTTTATGTGTGTTAGTTATATTTCATGTAGAAAAATACGTAACTGTGTGCGTGCGGAGTCAGCTTCTCACAGCTGCCGTTTGTCACACCCACGTCTGTTCCGAACACTTATCTCCTTCTGTTCGGAAGGCATACCTACAGTTGTCAGGTACAGTAACCTCCCCTACCGGGAACACCAACCTTACTGACAAGTGGTGTTTTAAACTGTTCAGAACATCTACCTCCTTCTGTTTGGAATACCTACCTCCTACGGCCGGAAATACTGCTATGCAACCAACGTCTTTCCATGCTCCCTGCATTTAATAAATATCATAGACGCTGATTACTTATGTTAAATAGTATATTATCTGAGTATCTGTGTCATATTGAATTCATAAAACGAGTTAAATAATTTAGTAGGACCGGACTGGGGGGCGGGGCCGGGATAAGTGGTGAGACTGTATGGTCGGTATGGACAGGATAAGTGGCGATTCTCTATGGTAGGGTTCGAGGGGGGAAATGGACGGAATAAGTAAAACTGTATGGCCGGGACCAGTGATAAAAAGTCGTGGAGACTAAAGAAAACATGAACATGAAATATATATGTAATTTTAAAAACAACTTTCTTGATTTGTTGATTATGTACTGCAATTATTATAGATAGAATCATTAGTTAGTACACTGTAAATTCACACAGGAAACTAAGCCAAGAAGATACACAGTTTAACTGCACCATATGGCCATTTCATGCATTTAAAGCTCACCGGTGGGGCGATACAGGAGGAAAATATATGTCTGAAGTGTTCCAAAATGTCTATAGGAAATAGTAAGAAGCATAAAAATGTCTATCAAACTCCATATAACGTTACAGAGCTAAGGCTAACCTCGGGGAGTAATCGTACATAACGTTACGGCTAACCTCGGGGACTAATCGTACATCTACAAGGTTACGGCTAACCTCGGGGACTAATCGTACAGCTACAAGGTTACGGCTAACCTCGGGGACTAATCGTACAGCTACAAGGTTACGGCTAACCTCGGGGACTAATCGTACAGCTATACCGTAACAGCTAACCTCGGGGACTAATCGTACATAACGTTACGGCTAACCTCGGGGACTAATCGTACATCTACAAGGTTACGGCTAACCTCGGGGACTAATCGTACAGCTACAAGGTTACGGCTAACCTCGGGGACTAATCGTACAGCTACAAGGTTACGGCTAACCTCGGGGACTAATCGTACAGCTATACCGTAACAGCTAACCTCGGGGACTAATCGTACATAACGTTACGGCTAACCTCGGGGACTAATCGTACATCTACAAGGTTACGGCTAACCTCGGGGACTAATCGTACAGCTATAACGTTACGGCTAACCTCGGGGACTAATCGTACATCTACAAGGTTACGGCTAACCTCGGGGACTAATTGTACAGCTATAACGTTACGGCTAACCTCGGGGACTAATCGTACATCTACAAGGTTACGGCTAACCTCGGGGACTAATCGTACAGCTATAACGTTACGGCTAACCTCGGGGACTAATCGTACAGCTATAACGTTACGGCTAACCTCGGGGACTAATCGTACAGCTATAACGTTACGGCTAACCTCGGGGACTAATCGTACAGCTATAACGTTACGGCTAACCTCGGGGACTAATCGTACAGCTATAACGTTACGGCTAACCTCGGGGACTAATCGTACAGCTATAACGTTACGGCTAACCTCGGGGACTAATCGTACAGCTATAACGTTACGGCTAACCTCGGGGACTAATCGTACAGCTATAACGTTACGGCTAACCTCGGGGACTAATCGTACAGCTATAACGTTACGGCTAACCTCGGGGACTAATCGTACAGCTATAACGTTACGGCTAACCTCGGGGACTAATCGTACAGCTATAACGTTACGGCTAACCTCGGGGACTAATCGTACAGCTATAACGTTACGGCTAACCTCGGGGACTAATCGTACAGCTATAACGTTACGGCTAACCTCGGGGACTAATCGTACAGCTATAACGTTACGGCTAACCTCGGGGACTAATCGTACAGCTATAACGTTACGGCTAACCTCGGGGACTAATCGTACAGCTATAACGTTACGGCTAACCTCGGGGACTAATCGTACAGCTACAACGTTACGGCTAACCTCGGGGACTAATCGTACAGCTATAACGTTACGGCTAACCTCGGGGACTAATCGTACAGCTATAACGTTACGGCTAACCTCGGGGACTAATCGTACATCTACAAGGTTACAGCTAACCTTGGGGACTTACCGTACATAACGTTACGGCTAACCTCGGGGACTAATCGTACAGCTACAAGGTTACAGCTAACCTCGGGGACTAATCGTACAGCTATACCGTTACAGCTAACCTCGGGGCCTAATCGTACAGCTATAACGTTACGGCTAACCTCGGGGACCAATCGTACAGCTATAACGTTACGGCTAACCTCGGGGACTGAGCGTACAGCTATAACGTTACGGCTAACCTCGGAGACTGATCGTCCAGCTACAAGGTTACGGCTAACCTCGGGGACTAATCGTACAGCTATACCGTTACGGCTAACCTCGGGGACTAATCGTACAGCTATAACGTTACGGCTAACCTCGGAGACTGATCGTCCAGCTACAAGGTTACGGCTAACCTCGGGGACTAATCGTTCAAATATAACGTTACGGCTAACCTTGTCCCTGCAGGTAGGGCGTAGGAATTGTAACAGCTGCCCCCATCGCATGATCGTAAAGGACGACTTAATTTGGGATCTTATCTTTTCTCTTTTTTCTGCACATTTTTCTTCTTCCTTATGTTTCCCTTGACAATACCTTACTTTTCTCCTTTAGTTGAGGGTTCGCCCCTGTGAGGAAGGCTTTTGGTCCTGTCCCCTGGCCGAGACATACCAGAGTCTGTATAAATGGTAGTTTCTACTCCTGCTTAACGCTCAGCGATTAAGGAGTGGGACGACTGGTTCGCCCGTTGTCAGTATAATGTGACCGGGTTGGATGTCCTACTGGGTGTTCGGCAGACTGTTTCAGACAGTGAGGTAGCACTATAAAGTCGCCATCAGTTCCGCGCTATCACAAGGAGACAAACACGAACATGTCGTAGCCTCCCAAAACACACACGCATACAAAAATTCAACAGGAAAGCATTTTTATTTTTTCAGATAGTATTTATCATTATCTCAATTTTATGTAAAATACAAACATTAAAAAAGGGTATCTCATAGAGATATATTTCCCTCTAATAACCCTGTTTTATATTTTGAAAAAATACAGCATCTTGTTTTCCAGCATTTTTGTAAATGACATTATTGTCTTTGAAATACTGTATCCGCCTTCCCCTTAAGGCGGGCCTGGTAGGGCTGACTCTTACTCAAGTAATATTGCTAAAGACAACTCATATATTTTCTTTTAATCGGTCACATTGACATGTCCACGGAATTAAATTGCTATTTAAGTCCGTGGCATGTCCAAGTGGCTGTAATTCTCCATTTGCCAATTTGGTACTGTATGATTGTATTCCCCCGTCGGAAGACGTATTGTGTAATCACGTGAGCAGACGGGTACGTGGTCGGGAGGGCGCGCACGGTGTCCACTCCATATCTAGAGTAATTTACAATGGATTAACTTTAAACTCCATAGGAAGGTTAAACGTTACGTACCCTGACTGCACGGACAAGTTTAATAACCACTATTATCCGATTGTAAACAGTACTCGCTCGATATCTCGAGTAATTTTCAACGGATTAACCTCAAACGTCATGGGAAGGTTAATTACTACGACAGCTCGGACATTTTTTATGATAATTATGTGTATACGCCGGTCCTGAATCAGTGGAGTGAGAGTATAGACGTGTTCCGCTTGGTTTCATTGATGCAGTACTACATGCATTCCGTGATGTTGTATTGCACTCATTGATATTTCATACATATGTCAACAAACAGCTGCTCATTCAACGTGTGACGGGCGTATATATGACGTGTCGTACAGTTAGGGACATAATACTCAATCAGCCACGAATAGAAATGGACATGAACGTGACTTGCCATGAATGTCTTTGGCAGTGTCGACTCCTTTGTGACACTGTTACTCCCTCCCATTACGCATGCGTCGCTGTCACCAAGGCTCCAAGCGTGTGGGCAGGAAGCACTGATAAATCGGTCACAGAAAAATGTCACAGAGATACCGAAATAGAAACAAGACGAATAATGACTAGCCAACGAAACATTATCTAAAGGAGAAATGTCAGTCCTGATCAAATCATATACAAAATAGTTAATGTTTCTAAGACATACCTAATATTTAATATCTTCTAACGCGAATAATACTAGATACCGTATATTTGTTTAGATTATACCTTATGTATTTCATCCTGAAGAAATGTTTGACGTTGGCTTGCCATAAAATAGGCTGTATTTCATAACAATCAATATAAGCTGAAATGTTAAATTTATAATTTTTTAAATCAAGTTTAGTAGAACTGGCATACTGCAATATTTGTTTTCTTTAGGATAATGATATTGTTGAAAATCCAGTCATTCCTATATATTGTGTATATTTTTTAATTGGTCATGATGACGTCAGTCACTATGCGGACAAGGCGCACATCGGTTTCCTCAATTTAGGTGGACGGGCTATGAGATAAGACGTGAAAGGTTCGCAAAACTCGCTTTTTAGAGAAACTGTTGTTAATTTTGATATATTTTGATGCGCTAAAACGTTTTGGAGAGATAAACACAATTTTAATATTACAGGGTACAAATGTATATATTAAAACAGAAAAAAACAATTCTAATGCCAGAAGAGGCAGTGTTGGTGTATGCATTTTTATAAAAGATTATTTTTACCAACAATATAAATGCGTTACCCTTGATGACTTGTGTGAAGATTGTATATGGGTAAAATTGTATAATGACGACGGTGAAGTATTTGTTATATGTGTGTGTTATCTCCATCCTAAAGATTGACCTGACCGAAAAGGTCTTCATGTACCAAAGCTGGGGTCATATTTACTTATGGGGGACTTAAACGCAAGATGTGGTGACCTTACTGATTATGTGGAAGGTGTCGATGATATAGCAGATCGCGTTGTTATCGACAACACAATAAATGATGACGGTTATCAGCTAATTAATTTCCTCTCTGATATCAACTTTTGTTTTGCTAACGGTAGAACAGGTAACCAAAACTTTACCCAAGTTTCACCAAAAGGAAAGTCTGTAGTTGATTATATTACTTATTATACCTCATGAAGAACTAAACAGTGTTAATGGTTTTAATGTTAAAGTAATGTCGGAGATTAGCGCTAACTTGTCGTTAAATCATATCGAGGATATTCCTTATCATTCCTTACTAGATTTCAATATTAAATTATATAATGGAGAACATCAAACGGACGTCACAGAGACAATGAGAAAAACATTAACGTCTATTGACGAAATACGGAACTTAAATGTCTCTTCAGATGTTAACTAGACATACAGTCGCTTTACCAAATTAATTGAAAGTGAAATGGAGGATAAGCTACCAAAATTGAACGTTAGAAATAGTACGGGGAGTATTAATTCTACACTCCGACTAGCCCGAGTTTCCTCTGGCCCTGTCACCAGACACACCAGACATATATCTGTCAAAATGTCGGGGCCAGAGGAAACTTGGGCTACACTTGGACGCAGACCGTATCGGAATGATGAGTTACAGAAGCTAGTTCTCAAGCGTAATGAAAGTGAAAGATTATGGTTAAAGTGTAACGGTCATGTGAGTTTAAAGCGAACACTAAGGTCTCAATACATAAACAATCGTATTTTTTTTAACAAAATACTTAGACGTGATAAACGACGATATGAAACAATCAAACAAGACGAACTGCTTGACATGTGTAGTAATTCCCCTATACGATTTCTGGAATAATATAGGCCAGCTATAGGTATGCATAAATATTCTAGTGAATCTCTAAAGGTATGGTACGACCCCTTCATGAACCTTCAAAGCTCTGACACGACAGACGTTACTGATGGACAAGATGACATTAATAAGTTGTTGGGACCCAAACTTGATATTAACAGCAGTCTATGGAATTTACCGATATCACGTCAAGATGTTGAAGATTCGGTTTATCGTGCCAAGTTAAACAAAGCGGCTGGTATTGACAATATACAGAGCAATGTCCTCAGACACCCAGCTTGTATTGACCTCTTAAGTACTATTATTGTTAATTGTAAATGGACTCAAAGTATTATTAGCCCTATTCTAAAAGCAGGAAAGGACCCACTAGATCCAGTTAGTTATAGAGGAATTGGACTTATACATGTATCAATCCCATGTAAAATGTATGCCAATGTTTTAAATCATCGGTTATCAAAATGGTCAGAAACAAAAGAACAGAAGTTGTTCGGACCACCAGTATATATTGTAGTCTGTTTTGAATAACAGAAAAATCAAGATAAAATCCACTTTTGTATGTTTTCCTGGTATTAAGAACGCATTTGATTGTGTGAACAGAGATCTTTCATGGGCTAAGCTAGAACATTTTGGTATAAATTGATGGGTTTTTTTAATGCTAGCAAATCCTTTTATTTTGACTATGAATGTAAAATTAGAATAAATCCTGTTTTAACGCCTTACATGGATATGAAGCAAGGTCTTAAACAAGGTTGTAAAGCCTCGCCAACATTTTTTTCTTTGTATATAAATGATTTAGCAAACGATATTAATGGTTTGAAATGTGATATTAAATCGCGTATTATCTCCATACTTCTGTATGCTGATGACGTTGCACTCATTGCCCCTGATGAAAATTCTATGCAACGGATGCTTGATGTTTAAATAAATGGTGGAAAACGTGGAAGATCAAGACAAAACTAACAAATTCCATTAAAAAAAATAAAAAATAAAAAGGAATACCGTGTTGTGCAGTGTCATAAAGCCATTACATCAATTATGTTTATGTAACGTGTGTAATATCACTCCGGAAATGACGTCACAATCGAATATGAACAATCGATGTGACGCCACGTCATTGTGAAGCGAACGCAATTTTCATCGTTTCAGAAGCGACCAAGTGCAATATATTCGTTTTATATGACAATTATACAGTTTACTTTGTATTATATAATAAAAAGACTGTGTCATTTGTGTCCCTTCATATTAGATTTATGATACTCGTTTTGGATTTTTCATATTTGCTCACCAGAGGCTCGCAAACATGAAAAATCCAAACTTGTATCATAAATCTAATATGAAGGGAAACTTGTGACAGATCCTCTATTTATATAACTTTAATTGAGCCGTTACTTTTTATGGATGTGGTTTATGGGGTTTAAATAAATACCGAGAGGTTTCTGTCATACTACACAAGGCAAGTAGATATTTTCTAGGAGCCTCCCGTCGAGCAAGTAACATAGCACTCAGAGGTGATATGGGATGACATTCTTGCAATGTAAGTCAGGTTTTAGAAACGTTGAGATTTTTTTTTAAAGGATTAAGTATTGTGATGATAACAGACTCATGAAAAAGGCATCTATGGTCCGTAAGTCTGAAAAATCTTTGGATTCTAGAATTTTGGAAATGATTCATTGATGACAAAAATTTGATTGAAATTGTAAACTCACATTTTTCTATTAAACACAAGATAAGACGAGTGAAAGAAAAACTAATCATTTCATATGCTGATGAATGTTACGAGTCTATATGGATGGAATGATAGTGGTAATGTAAATGGTAACAGGTTGAGAACTCACAGAACTTTGAAATCAAATTTAATACCGGATTCATATGTCAGGCTCGTTAGACAAAAGAGCAAACGAAGAGTACTTTTTAATTTTAGATGTGACTCTCTACCTCTAAAAGTGGAAACGGGCAGATACGCCAAACCTGTGATTTCACTAGAGGCACGCTATGATATGTACAAATGTCAATATAATTGTATAGAGGATGAATTACACTATTTAATTCAATGCACTGTATAATATAAGAAATGATTTTGCAAGTCTTAATAACACAGACAAATTTAATCTTATAATGTCTTCCGAAGAACTAAACAATCCACTAGCAAACCAGTTGTATAATATGCACAGAAGACGTAGCAGTCTATGTGATTAATTATAGTTTTAAACAATGTCTTGTAAGCCATTTTCGGCTGAATATCACATACAATTACATTTTCTATTGGATGCATTTGTTAAATATGATACCAGGGGGCAATTTGAAACGTTTTATATGAAAGTAATAGTCCGTTAAAAACTATAATGGCATAATTAGAAGACTTCGCTGGTAGGGGACTCCCCAACCCTCGAAAAACTGTTCACTACAAGGTAGAACTAGGTATTATATCCATATTATATTTATGTATTTATTCATTTCATTTATCACTATTGTGGTGTTTTTAAAGACATCATGTTTTAATGCAGTAAATGTAACAGAATCCTTATATTTATTATGGTATATAATATGTAAGTATAACATCAAGAGAGCTTGTTAGGTAGGGGCTGTCCTAATCACCTGTTCTCTGGATTGGAAACTGTGATAGTTTATTTGAATTGATAAATATATTACGTTTTATAATTAACTGTTTTTAACAAAATTATGATAGGGTCTATATATTTTTACCTTACGATGATTGATCACTGCTATGTAACTATATGTTTGTATACTGTGTAACTATTTACTTGTACGATGTAATTGTGATATATGACAGCATAATAAACAAAATTGATTTGACGTGACTCTATGTTTGTACTGGGCATCTGTATAAGTGTAACACTGAACTTCGATGAAAATGACATAGAAAGATAAATGCCTGTCTCTCTTGCTAACCAGTCAGGTAGCAGAACTATAAAGCGTAAACGTTCCGCCAATCATTTTACAACAATTAAACTGAAAAAATCACTTTTAGCCAAATTATCATGTATGTGCGTAAATAACAATCTTCCTTTTCCGAATTTATTAGAATCACTTTAAATGAGCAGGGAGTAACTTGTTGCCGACTAGACATTTGGGCAGTCGAACCCTTCAGATATATATACTATAACGTCCAGCCATGGCGAGCAAAGGAAACAAATATGAACAGCAAGCCATACGCTCTCTTCCATTGTCAGTTGCGATGGTAAGGGCGATGCAAAGCCTCCCTTTTACCCGTACAGAAGATAATAATGGATTTAGTACATTATATAACTTATCACGGGGGAAAAAATGAGACTGCCTAGCGATCGGTAAAGGGGACGCAACCTATGTCACGCCGTGCGCAACCGATCGTAAAATCTATAAGTTATATATAGTTATTCAATCAATACCCGATATTTTACCTTGTGATCTATACTGACATATATTATATATACACATTTCAGGTTCTAATTAAACAAAACAAGCACATGAAACTGATGATACAGCTACACACGCTCGTGTACATAGATACTTACAGAGGCCGAGAGTCTGCCCGCGCAGAGGGCTCCTATTTGTCCTACACAGAACTACGTAATACCTGTACAGGTGCCCGGTACTTCCTTGTCGGCCGACCAATCAGGGTACACACCGTATATGTACCGTTATTAGGTGAAGGCATTTAAACTACGCTCCGCTCACAGGTTTAATCTTCAAAACATAACACTGTCACAAAATCCACCCCATGTTATTGTGTATATTATGCATTGTATTGATATGTTTGTACTGATGGGCCGTAAGGCCGAAAGTTAATAAATGAATTGAATTGATACACAAAATCCACCCCATAAAATACTATGCAGTGCAGGCTGAATGCTGAGATGATTTCGGGTTGTTAAACATTACAGCTTTGGTGTGTTTTCAGTGGCGTAGCATACATGTATGCTTGTATGCTGAAGCATACACTGAAATCTTCAAGATTATTTTTTTATCATATATATTAATTTTGATTAATTTCTCTTTTATTTTAATGATTAATATGGACCGTCCATATAAATCATATACAGGAAGATAAAGACAAAAAATCTTTTAGAAAATATTCGTTATGTCTGTTTACACATTGAAAAATCTCGAAGATTTATGTAAATCAAAAACTACTAAGTGAAGTACACAATTTAATATTATCCATATGGAGTCGGGTATTACTTGTTAATGATCAGACTAAAATGAGTTCCTAAAACACGGGAGATTGCTTCTATGACCTAGTTGATTTGTTTCCACATATGGTAGGGGAACACCCCCATCCATACCCTCCTCCTTCTCCGGCGCTGCGCGCCTCGGACGCTTGACCCTCGCGATCGGTAAGCATACACTCAGAAAAATGATTTGCTACGCCACTGTTTTTCTTGCTTATTTATAGTCACATGCATGACAACTCTGTTGTTTACAATTTTTTAACACTTGAATTCGTCTTTATTTATTCATTTATTGATTTACTGATTTATTTAATTATTTATTAAATTATTAATTTTTTTTTTTTTAAATAAAAGAATGTAACTAAAACTGATTAATCAACTTAAGAAAACTCCTTGGAATATACTGCAATGTATGGGTTTCTAATCAGATGGATGTCATGTAAAACACAATAATATCCTATCGGACCACGGCTCGGCCGTTTCCGTGAGCATGCGAAGTGACCCGATCGACATCAATCGCATCTTCTTTAGTAGAAGGGAAGAAACGTAACTCTACCAGGAATTTCTTACTGTGGCAACAACTCATAATTTTAGAGGATTTTTTAAAACATTGGGACTAAATAAGACCTGCAGCATGCCTTTTTTATGCTCCCAATTTTTTTTCGGGAGAGCATATAGTTGCCGCTTTGTCCATCCGTCCTTCCTTTTCGTGTCCGGACCATAACGTTCCCCCACATTTAAGCTAGGATCATGAAACCTGGTGTGTGCACTGTACCAAACTCAGAGGCTAAGCCCCACAACCACTTATTTACAGAGTTGTGACCCTTCGCTAAAATGTCGTATCCGGAGCATAACTTTGCCTGCATTTAAGGTAGGATCATGAAACTTGGTGTGTACACCACACCATCCTCGATATTCATGGGTTACGCTCACTTATGCTCTCTGCACCCCTGGAATATAAGTCATATCAAAATCGAAGGCTCAATGAACAGCACCTTGAGGATGAGATGAGAAGACAAGTGTAGTTCTTTGAAGCACATCAAAAGAATTTCACGGTCGCGTAACGGTAAACAATGACAGGCTTTCAAGTCGGGCGTCGCTCCTTTGTAATCTTCAAAGGACAAGTATCAGCCTAGTGCTTGGTCAGTGTTTTTTTACCAGACAACAATCAAATAGCTAGCCGTGTGCCTTCAATTTTGCTATGACATTATTCCAGGGATATAGAGATCGAAAGTGAGCGTAATCCCTGGATATCGAGGATGACATAACTCATACTAAGACGATTTAGGGTCCACAACCCCTTATTTACAGAGTTATTGCCCTTTGCTAAAATGTTGTGTCGGGAGCATAACTTTGACTGCATTTTCAGGAGGGATCATGAAACTTTCACTTGGTATGTACATTAGTCATATTAAGGCAATGTGCACTGTACCGAACTCAGGGCCCACAACCCCTTAATTACAGAGTTATCGCACTTTGCTAAAATATCGTGTACGGAGCATAACTTTGCCTGCATTTAACCTAGAATCATGAATCATAGTGTGTTCATCATTTTCACACAAAGATGATATACAGTATACTGAATTCAAGGCCAGCAACCCGTCATTTACAGAGTATTTACCGTTTGCTTAAATCACCCGCAAGATTTGCAATACCAAAATATTCATAGACACACATAACTATCAGTGTGTATAGCTGGCATATACTAGAATACATTAATTATCAGTAACAGATGCCTTCATATTGCATAGCGCTAGCATATGCTAAGTGTCAGACACTTATACATGTACGTAACGTGTTAAAATATTATTTTTCTTCTTCTAAACTCCCCATGTCAACATGTTTTTATATGTGTCATGAATCTACATGTAACCCTGAATCTAACCAAATGCAAAATTCACAAACAGGAAAAGCGTCCAATAAAGTTGTTTTCGGGGAGCATACATCAGTTCCACTGTACTCCTGTTTCGTTCAGTAGAGATATGATCATGGTATGGAAATATTTGTATACATTTGGAAGCATAAATGCGGTCATTTACAAAAACGGATATATTTGTTTTACGTCAATTAATGCGTCATGTGAACACCTTCGTTTGTATAAATACAGCTTGGGTAACCATTGACGTATACATATATCTTTTTATAATTTTAAATTCTGTAAGTAGAAAATGGATTTGTGACACTCACAATAGGCGTAGGTTGTTTCAACAAAGCAGCATACTATTGTTTTAATATCAACTGGTATCACCAAATGGAAAGAAGATGTAAAATTTCAAATCGTATTCTGGGATTGAAAAAGAATAACTCAAAAAGTAATTTGTGAATTCAAAAATTTACATATAAAAATGTTTATATACATATATTCATATTATATGTACGCATATGCATATGAAAAACCCATAAAAATCAGAAACGTGTAAATTTGTAAATACGCATAACATCTCTATCAGAAGTTCTACTGTATGTTATGAAATGTTCTACTCTTTACACAATTATACGTCTTACAGAGTTCCAAACTGAAGGGACGCATTTGTTCAATTATCATGAGTGTGTTCTTTTCGAAGAGAGACGAACAGTAATACAAATATACGGTTGCTAACTATTTTGGAGCATATATCTTGTGAAAAACACAACAAAAGCCAAAAAATAAGGATGACATCGTGTGAATGATTGATTTCCTGGTTATATGTTTGTTGAGTTCGGTTGTAAGATTTTCCAGCAGACAGTAGGCATTCCTAAAGGAACGCCTGGCCGAATTGCTTTTGTTTTCTTTATAACGCTGAAGTTTTGAAGAAGTTATCAGGAGTGGTAGTCGCCAATGCCTTCACTTTCACTCCCGATATCTCGACCATATGCTGTCTCCAAATAACAAGAAATTGATTTACCATGCCGATCGTGTGTACAAATGTGTACCCTCCAGACCTTGAAATCAACGACACTTACATTTGTAAGACTCTTTGTTTTTCTTCAGCCACTTCCCCCGATCTATACTTATAACATGACAAACGGGAGTGGCATACTATTAAGCAGTACGATAAGCAGAACGATTTCGATTTACTGATCATAATCGAATTTTCCCTTTCTGTATAGTAACATCCCTACCTGGTTACCAAAAATATTATTGTGTTTTACCTTTCGCAGTTGATTTGGTATTCAATAGTTTACTCCGACTATCGTGGCTTAAGATGTATTTGTCAACTGACGGGCAAAGCTATATGTACTGCATAGGGGGTTCAAAAATACAGGAAGATGAATGCTAAAGACAAATGTTAGTTGTTGCCATCATAATCACATTGGGAAAACACGCTATTTGTTTGAGTGATTGGAAGGTCGATATTTTTTTATAATGTGTTGGCGTGTTACAATGTTTCGTTGTCACAACCCAAGTTCTTGCCATGACGTGACATTACTTTGCTTTGATATTTACATGTCCTGTGTCATCGTTGAAACATAAGACGCTAATCCTTCCAGAACGCCTGGTCTTATTCTTCCTTGATTCCGAATAGGCGCCTTTACACGGCGGATTCCGATAGTCATACCTAAACATTCCTATCGTTGTCGGAAAAGATGTTTAAAGGTGTAGTAGTTTTGTACCATCAAAGAACATTTATCAAATAGCCTTTACTTCCATTCAAGGTCACAGGAATTGACGGCCTATGGTCATAATATTAAGTCAATGGCTCACAAAAATGTCATTTATAGTCATACGGTTAAATATGTTTCAAACTGTAGATGAATTCCTCTTAAAAAGCATACGGTCTGACGTGGTAATATTTCCGCTGTAGACAGTTGGGATAAAGGGCAAACAACTTCATGTCAATAACTGACCCAGACCTTCAACCAAGGTCACGGGGCTATAATGTTTGAATATTTTAAATGCCTCAATATTCATCACATGTTGGACGACATCGTTCTGCCTGTAGATAGCTGAAATGGAAGGCTGTATAAAGTTTATTTAGATGATCTTGACCTTTATTATAAACGGGGTAATGTATATGACTTTTTTTTTTATCAAAGTCGTTCAAACAAATGACTTTGACCTTCATGGTGTGCTTAAATATTTGAATTATTTTTCAATAACTATCAGGCGGCTAAGGGTCATAAAATTTTGAACAAGAGGCCCATAGGTCCTGTATCGCTCACCTGGATATCTAAGCAATCATGGCAAAATAGTCTCCAAATGAAATCCAAGGGAATATTTCAGACCCCAAGGCCAATCCTTGTAGATATCTGTATTAGATTGTTCATCCCCAGCAATTTTATGTATGGTTATGGGGTGGAGATCTCAACTGTTTCCAAGCTGTGACTCAGAAACTAGGTCCATAGGGTTGTGGCAAGACCCCAGGATCAATTCTAATATCATGACTGCATTTGTCTCTTTATGCCCAGCATTTGTATTTATAGTTTTGGGGTGGGGATCTCAACCGTTTCAAAGTTATGACCTAGGGACTATGTCTCCAAGGGTAGGGCCAGACCCTAGGGTCATCCTGGAAGCAAATGTGCATTCTTCTCATTATACTCAGCGTTATAGGGACCGCAGAACCAAATGATCTTCCATAGACGATAGTGTTAACGTTTACCACTGTCCTGGTTAAATGGGGTTATCCTCACTGGTTTACCTGCCCTCATTTTGAAGAATATCATCTCACACAACTGTAAATAAAATATTTAAAAATTCTGCCTATTTGAACCTTTTTTTATATGGGGGCCGCCATCTTGTATTAAAATTCGGCACAAAAATTGGACCAAACTTTACAACAAATTACACACTTGATAAACTCACCCAGACAAAAGCAGACTTGAAAATGTTTAAATATTTTTTATGCATATTACATCTATATATATTGCTCAACCCACACATACAACTTTTGAAACTTCTGCCACCTAAATATCCAACCAGCAGGCCCGGAGGCATTCACCTTCCTATTAAATCTATTTTTGATTTGGTTCCGTGGTCCCTACACGGTGGGGATCTCAACCATTTCCAAGAAATACACTATTTTTGGCCTCACCCCTTAGCCTGGGGCTACCATTTGTACAATTTTGAATCCCTGCCTCCCATGAATGCTTCCGACCAAATATGATCGATATCCATGGCACAGTTCTACAGAAGTCGTTTATAGCAATATAGCCAAATTGCCCCCTTTTGGCCCCGCCCCTCAGTCCGACCATTTATACAATTGTGAATCCCCACCACCTAGGGATGCTTTCAGTCAAATATGGTCGATATCCATTTCTTAGTTCCAGAAAAGAAGTCTCTTAAAGCAATATAGCCAAAGTGTCCCCTTTTGGCCCCACCAGTCAAATATGGTTGATATCCATCTCTTAGTTCCAGAGAAGAAGTCCCTTAAAGCAATATAGCAAAATTGCCCCCTTTCGGCCCCGCCCCCCAGCACGACCATTTGTATAATTTTGAATCCCCACAACAAAGGGATGCTTCCAGTCAATCATTGGTTAAGAAGAAGAAGTCATTCAAAGAAATTGTTGACGTACGGACAACGTACGCCACGGTATGTCATAAGCTCACCTTGGTCCTTTGGACCAGGTGAGCTAATAATGGGCATTTATTACCATTGAAAAACACAACTATTTTGTATATGCAATAGCTTTTTTTTTCACAGCTTCAATAACCATAATGCTTTAGAAAAGATATTTGGTCTTTAGCTTACTGAGATGGTGAACTATCAAAGTCATTTTAATAAAGGAAATTGACTTCCATTCAAGGTCAGAGAGGTTAAATAGAGTACTCTAATCTCTATTGTAAGAAATTATTATTTTTCTGTTTCATGTTTTTTTTCCGTAGAGGCCGCAGTGGCCAAATTAAGGCGTCCGACCCTCTGATACAACTAGCCCTCCAGCACTTGGTCGCAGGTTTGAGGCCTCCAAGGGGCAGTCGCCAGGTATATTCCACAGGTCGATGGTTTGTCTCCGGGTACTCCAGCTTTCCTCCACCACCAAAAACTGACACGTCCTTGAATGATCATAGCTGTTTAATTGGATGTAAAACGCAAACAAACAACTTTTTTTTCAATTAAAACAGATGACAAAAGACTCATTCACATAACCTCTTTTTATTTGTAGAGAAGTTGTAATGTTCACAGTAACAGTTGCCCTGGACATCCAGGGGAGGTCACTCAGATCAATGCTGGTAACAATCTTATTATTTGGCAACTTACGACATGTCATTCTCTGATACACACTTATTTACCTGACAAAACGACTAGGTCATTGGAACACAGTACACTGTTATAGACATCTGGCAGCTGGGCAGAGGATTGCTTTTGTAGGAATTGCTTCTTGGTTTAGTAACAGGGACCTGAACATTTGTTGCTATATTTGGACCTAAACTAAGGAAATTTTACATGTTTTAGCGGTTTAGATCAACTTTCGGTAAAAATGACACCCCCAATGATCATATATAGGGTGTTTAGAGTAATTTTGAATGTTGTGATATATGATCATTGGGGGTGTCATTTTTACCAAAAGTCGAAATTAATAATTTTCTACTGATATATTTTGTAAAATATTTTGTAAACTGAATAGGTTTAAATTAACCACACACTTCAAAAACAAACCTACCCAGGTGCCTGTGTAAAATGTACATGTATCATGGATATTTACACATGAAGAAATGCTAATATACTCAAAATTTGATAAAGTTCCTTCATTCCTTTCTGAATTAACATATTCCAGATGCAGCCAAAACAGTTTCCAATGATTTGATGTAGCTATGAAAGTCAAACTGGCACAGCAAAACAAATTATACTGGCATGTTTGTGTAAAATCGATCCCGCAACCAGAGCAAATTTCCCAATGGAAAAAATACTTTAATAGTAGTTGAAGACATGAATCTGGGATCTCTTCAGAAATCGTTGTTATTTTATTATCGGTATTTTTTACTTGTTCTAAAGGGTAGTAATCTGTAATCAAGTTTTATAATCAATATGAATTACCAGCATTAAACATATGGCAACCCCAAATATTGTGACAACTCAATTATGCTAATTTTGAAATTGTGTTTTTAATAAAAATAAGATGATAACATTGTAATATTACAATGCAACGTGATTGTTGACAGACTAGGAATTAAAAGCATTCAATCTTATTCTATACTAGACTTATTAGGAGGGGTGGAGACGTTTTATTTAGACATACCCGAGGAGGTAAGAACAGATCTGAACTAACATCGTTTAGAAAAGCTTACGGTTAATAAAGAATTCTCTAGCACAGATGACTTTAAGGTCTATGGAAAACTACCCGTGACTTGGGCTACAATGGTGGAGTTCTATTTACCCCAAGGTTCTGAGAATCTGGAAGAACACAGCATGGTTACATGACTGAGCCGGTATAAAAATACATAGGAGTCAAGGTGAGACATCTCAGGAACATTTCTATACAGCACCACCAAGCCAATATCATTAAAAACAACAATATATCACAAGAATTGGAGTAAATATGAATGCCGTGATAACCAATACCTTCCAACATTTACTATATATCATACATCACAAACAATACTCTCCCATTTCTATTTTCTGTGATGGCTGTTCAATTCAGAAAGCCTCTTTGCCCCATAATAGGTACCTTCTTTTTCAAGGTCTTCAGCAAGAGAATTTTACCTGTAGCCAATATGTCCAAATAATTACATATCACAGAAATATTTACACATCATTTGCCACTGGTGGAGAATATTGTTTTACTGGGTCGCCCTGATAAACATAATACTGTTAAACACTTCGGTGTCACGTCAATTCTTCAGCAGAATGAATTTCAATCTTTCATGAATAATAATTCAATATATGCTTTCTTTCAAAATTGAAATAACATCCTCTCAATCACGAATTCAGATATTTTCGCAAATAAAAATAACAGATATTATACTTCGCAATATAAAGCAAATTGAGAAAATAAAATTATTTATACATCAAGTCTAATATTGTGAGAATTAAGGCCTCTCTAATAAGCATGTTCTATAGATATTGCAGATGAAAGTAATTTCTGAGTATATGTACTCTTTGCGTATTGGTGAAATTCACGACCAACCTCAATGTACATTTTACCAGTTGCTTAGAGGCACAACACTCAGTTTATCACAGGTGGAGTTAATTTTAAATGACAGTTTCAAATCATTTAAATGTGATAAACATCACTTGAGTGAAATGACACCTATATCTATATTCCAACCAGGAGAAATGACACAAGATGTTTTTTTCAATTATAGAAACTGATTTAAGATTAGATGTTTGCAACGACAAGTATGTAAGAACAAGAGGCCCAATGGGCCTGCATCGCTCACCTGGTATAAATCTCACACTTGTAACCTTAAAAGTGATCTAAAATAAAGCCACAGGCAAAATATCAGTATCTATGATTAACATTCATTCAAAAGAACCTGTTTTAAGATTTGAAAACGAACAAGGTCATTATGTTGAACAAAATGTATAGCCCTTCATCTCAGGATGAAACTTGCAAAATATCCCCACCCTATCCTTTTGTTAATTTAAATTAGTTCATTTGACCAAACGTGACCTTGAAAGTGGGCCAAGGTCATTTTTCTTAAACAAGCATGGTAGCCCTTGATCCCAGCATGATACTGACCAGATCCCAACATTCTATGCCTTATGGTTATTAAGGAGAAGTCGTTTAAAGATTTTAACATATTTGACCCCTGTGACATTGAATATAATTTAAGGTCATTCATTTGAACAAACTTGGTAGCCCTTCATCTCAGCATACTACTGGCCAAATATCATCACCCTGGGCATTTTGGTTATTCAGAAGAAGTTGTTTAAAGGATTTTTAAGACAATTGACCCCTTTGACCTAGAATATAAGTGAAGGTCATTCATTTGAACAAACTTGGTAGCCCTTCATCTCAGAATGCTACTGGCCAAAAATGTCATCACCCGGGGCATTTTGGTTATTCATCAGAAGTTGTTTAAAGTTCTTCACATATTTGACCCTGTGACCTTGAAAATGAGTGAAGGTCATTTATTTGCACAAACTCGGTAGCCCTTCATCTCAGCATGCTAGTGGCCAAAAATGTCATCACCCGGGGCATTTTGGTTATTCATCAGAAGTTGTTTAAAGTTCTTCACATATTTGACCCTGTGCAATTGAAAATGTGTGAAGGTCATTTATTTGCACAAACTTGGTAGCCCTTCATCTCAGCATGCTACTGGCCAAAAATGTCATCACCCGGGGCATTTTGGTTATTCATCAGAAGTTGTTTAAAGTTCTTCACATATTTGACCCTGTGACCTTGAAAATGTGTGAAGGTCATTTATTTGCACAAACTTGGTAGCCCTTCATCCAAGTTTGCAAAATATCATCACCATAGGCTTTTTGGTTATTAAGAAGAAGTTGTTTAAAGTAAAATATTGACGCTGGGAGACAGACGACGGATGGATGACGGACGCCGCACCACGGCATAAGCTCACTTGGCCCTTTGGGCCAGGTGAGCTAAAAATATAACAAGTATGAAAATAAAATAGTCTGCACATATCAGTATATAGTATACATAACAAACTCAGATTATGTAACAAGTGAGTTAACCCCCTTTCAGGAGATCTTCAGTAAATGGTAACTGAACTTCATCAATCCACTTCATCATTCGGCTTGAAGTCAGACACCTCGAAAACACTCAACAGAAGATTACCAACCACAGGATTAGAGACAAAATATATTGTGGAAAATTTGTAGCATTTACCCTACAACCACTACAGGCATTCTGTCATAACATTATGGTTAAGTAAGAACATAGACCTTTCATCTGCTGTAGCAGGTTGGGCGTCACCATGTGGTAAGATACGGTTGTTCAGGAACAAGTGAAGCATAAGGTCCCAGATCTACAAGCCTACATATCATTGTATGTCATATATATTGTTAAGTGGAAATTCTTATGTGTGTAAATATTCCTGTTGGCAATGGGTTCAAAATCAATACATTCTATAAACCTACAATCCATATACAAACGTATTTACATTCGCGTGAGGCTATTGTGCACTAACTTACTAAATGGACCAACTGCAGGCACTTCCATACCTCATTACACTACACGTTTACAATATATGCAGACCAGAGTACCCTGTCTGCAATCCTACACTCAGGTGTATGGTCAGAAAGCCAAGTACAAGTATGTACATATATAGTATATGTATAGTTGTGCAAACAAGTCACTAACCAACTAAAAGCAAAAACGTGCCGCTTCATAAAAAAATAAAAAATATCAGTGATAATGCCTACGACACCGTTAGTGAGGTCCTAGACATTACCATACCAATGTCCTCAAAAATAACTCTTTATTCTTCAAATCCCTTAAAATGTTGTCAAATACTACTTGAGACACCACAAGATCACTGGCAAATGTTTATGCACTGTGTAACGATTTTAACTGCCTCTATATGTACAGCCATATGACGAGATATTCATTATTTTCAATGTTTGTACAGTAATATTTGAATGATTTATTAAACATCACGTTGGCTTTAACTAGAAATTTCAAAATGATGTATATAATTATACATTAGTTTTGTTATTATTCTTGAAAACTGCTAAAACCATTTTCTCAAATGCTAATTTGTATGTACATGTATGAACATTTGTTTCTGTAGCAATCAAATAACTAATAATTAAAACACATGTAAAATTTCATACAGCTTCCATACATTTAACAAGATGCATCAGTTTGAAAATATGAAATATCAAAGTTTTACTTTCTACACAAACAATGAACGTATTAAATGTGTCGCAACCTTTCAAGACCAACTGGTCTCTTTGGGTAGCTATATCACAGCTCAACACAGGAGACATTCTTGAAACATGGCAATACGTTTAATACATATATTGGTTGTGTGTAAAGTAAATCTTTGATATTAGCTTCCACACCTGTTTGTCTTCTTCATATTTATTATTTCATGTTGTCTAAGATATAAATCATAACAACACTACCACTATAGTATGTTACAACCAAACAACCAACCTCCTACACGCATTAGGACAGACTTTTAAGTGTGTCATCAATTGAGCAGTGTGATTGATTGGCCTGTACAGTGGAGACTCGGTGTTCGGGACATGTTTGTCACAACTACAGTGTCTGAATTGTGAAACATCTGTAAAATGGCTGGGTTACTAGAACAATGCTGTATTGTCAATATTGTTCCCTAAAATTCTAGCTAATTAGTTGGCCAATCTGTCCTCTAGCTCTCTCTATATAGTGGGCAAATCTGTCCCCTACAACTATCTCCAGATACTGGGCCAATCTGTCCCCTAGAACTCTAGCTAGACAGTCGAACGATCTGTCCCCTAGAACTGAAGCTAGATGTTGGGTCAATCATTCCCCTACAACTCTCTCCAGATATAGGGCCAATCTGTCCCCTAGAACTGAAGCTAGATGTTGGGTCAATCATTTCCCTACAACTCTCTCCAGATATAGGGCCAATCTGTCCCCTAGAACTGAAGCTAGATATTGGGCCAATCTGTCCCTAACACCTCTCTCCAGATATAGGGCCAATCTGTCCCTAACACCTCTCTCCAGATATTGGGCCAATCTGTCCCTAACACCTCTCTCCAGATATTGGGCCAATCTGTCCCTAATACCTCTCTCCAGATATTGGGCCAATCTGTCCCTAACACCTCTCTCCAGATATTGGGCCAATCTGTCCCTAACACCTCTCTCCAGATATTGGGCCAATCTGTCCCCCAAAAACTCAAGCTAGACAGTGGAACAATCTGTCCCCTGATACACAAGAGTGTAGGGCAAATAGATGTGGTGACTGGATTTAACATGCTTGATAATGATTATCTCCAAATAGTTTTGTTTAAGTATTTTCACAATCGACTATTTACGCATGACTTATGAAGTCTGTGATTAGTAAAATTTGATAATTACCTCTCTATAGTTATTCTAAGTGTTAAATTAAATATTTCTAGACTAGAGTTTATGTTCGTGTATTAGTTAAGTATGTTTATCAAGCATGTAATTATGTATTACTGTAATTGGATAACTGCATAACTTTAATGTGCATAGGACCTACGTCACAGTTCCAAAACATAATTGAGTGAAAGAGATATTATGATTTATGATACTGTGCTGCTACAACATTTTCATTCAAACACAACTTTTTATCATGGACTTAAACATTAAAAGATTCTTATATAAAAGATGCCCACTGATGAGTAACAATTTAGCAATATCCAAACACGTCACAATTCTGTAAAACACAACAATATATTCAGCACATGTATGCATATATGATATAGACATTAAAAGTTAACTTGTACCTTGTACAATCTAATTTTCTTAACTGTTCCTTGTACAATCTAATTTTCTTAACTGTTCCTTGTACAATCTGATTTTCTAAACTGTCCCTTGTACAATCTAATTTTCTTAACTGTTCCTTGTACAATCTAATTTTCTTAACTGTTCCTTGTACAATCTGATTTTGGTAACTGTTCCTCGTACGATCTGATTTTCTAAACTGTTCCTTGTACAATCTAATTTTCTAAACTGTTTCTCGTACAATCTGATTTTCTAAACTGTTCCATGTACAATCTGATTTTCTTAACTGTTCCTTGTACAATCTAATTTTCTTAACTGTTCCTTGTACAATCTGATTTTGGTAACTGTTCCTCGTACAATCTGATTTTCTAAACTGTTCCTTGTACAATCTGATTTTCTTAACTGTTCCTTGTACAATCTGATTTTCTAAACTGTCCCTTGTACAATCTAATTTTTTTAACTGTTCCTTGTACAATCTGATTTTCTTAACTGTTCCTTGTACAATCTGATTTTCTAAACTGTTCCTTGTACAATCTAATTTTCTTAACTGTTCCTTGTACAATCTGATTTTGGTAAATGTTCCTCGTACAATCTGATTTTCTAAACTGTTCCTTGTACAATCTGATTTTCTAAACTGTTCCTCGTACAATCTGATTTTCTAAACTGTTCCTCGTACAATCTGATTTTAGAAACTGTTCCTTGTTCAATCTAAGATACTAGGCCCTATCTTGAATTTATCTTGTTATGAATGCATGCGCACTTCTAACAAATTTGACATATAAATAATTATTGACATTATTTCTTATTACATTTCCAGACTTTCTAAAAATCCAAGCCGTGCAATTTTCAGGTGAGTGAAAACTAAAATCGGAGAAAAAACTGAAGTTTTTGTTTATTTTCTTTACTGATAGCAAAACTTGCATGCAGTTTCTGATAATTGTTAATTAGGTAAGAAAAAGAAAGATTAATAAAACCATATGTACTTATGTTAACGCAACAAAAAAAGTTTTCAAAAAACGTAGTCTGACTTTGTGCGATTTTTTGAGAACTTTGGACTAGACCTATACTCTCTAAAATGCCAAACTTCTCCATGACAACCTCTCCACACACAATCTCTGTGTGAACAATCTGAACATTCAAGATATGTAAGATGTTTCAACTATGATTTTTCTACAACCAAGATCTGTCTACAAAACAAGCCTCTATTTGCAGGCTTAATTTTTTTCTGCAAGATCACTGTGTGCACCAGCTTTATTTACAAAATCATTGAACGAGATATGCCTTCATGATATCTCTCTTCTCATGTTATTGTTTTACGTACAAGATCTTCATACACATGAAATCTGTCTGTACAAGCTAAGGTATCTATACCTGATCTCCCAGAATGCACCAATAATGCAAACTTACTCATGATGTATAATTTAATAAGTCAAAATGAAACAAACGTTGACTTCCTCTAGGTCAAACATAATGTCTGTGTATGAGCCTATCTCTCGGCCTCACAATGAAAAAATCAATGACTTAGTATGTAAGGTTTTTATCACCGTCTCCAAACCCAAAACTGTATTTTCTTCACTTCTTGTAACGATCTGCATCGAAAACTGGGCGCTTGAAGTCACCTGTGTTGAGCCTTGGGCGTGGTCGGTCACCGAAGATGTAGCGTTCATCACTTGTAATACTTTGGGCAAGCGCCTGCATGGAGGCAGCTATCTGATCAGGGTCACTCGGGGTTAGCTGTAAGGACAATTGAGATTGGCTATAAGGTCTGTTGTAGCAATCATATGGTAACTACAGGCAGACAACAGCAATAATCAAGTAAAGTTCAGCTTTACCGGTACATACCTTGTCACCGACGCCATCATCCAGTCCAGTCCTGTTCCAGATTGGCACAGAGATGGGCATGGAGGAGGAATAGATGGAGGACTTCATTGAGGCCATTGTCCTGTTTCTCTCACTCGTACCTTCAGGGGAGATAATTACATATTACACTTGTTAGAGCTAGGTATACCCAGTTGTTTGATTACCTGTTTGGCAAACCGTTTAAATGTACACTTTTACTTTACAAGTATGACGGCTCAGTAGTTAATCTACCTAAAGGCATCATCACTATATGATGCATTCTACCATGAGTTTGTTACAGATCAATAGGATGACTTACTATCAGTATCCTCCTCCTCCTCCTCGTCCTCATCCTCGGAAGAGTAGAAAGCTTCTGGCCCACCATCCCCAGCATCATCCAACATAAACATGGCTGAAACAACAAATACCTGGAATCGTACTAGATACAGGGAATTCATATAAATCAAATTTATAAAGTAAGCTTTTCACCTGAGCTTTTTACTGCTATGTAATGTTTAAAAGTGTAGGGTATTAACTAATTGCTTTAAATGTTTCTACATAATGAAATATTAAATCATTAAAAGCAATTAAAACCATTGACAACTTGTCAACTAATTAAATATAAAATCATCAAATATTGCATATATATCACATACAGAAAGATTTTTTTAATAAATGAATAAATGTTTGATTTACTATAGAGGATCTGTCATAAGTTTCCCTTCATATTAGATTTATGATACAAGTTTTGGATTTTTCATGTTTGCGAGCCTTTTGCGAGCAAATATGAAAATTCCAAAACAAGTATCATGAATCTAATATGAAGGGAAACTTATGACAGATTCTTTTTATCATATAATACATAATTTATGTGACTGCATAACACTGTATTCATATGATAAAATGAATTATTGTATTCTGATAAAAGTCTTTTATGCATTAGTTATTTAAATACCTGGTAATTGCCCTCATTAACAGACTTGCAAAATATATAACTTCTTTACACGTAAAGTAAAACGTGTATGCATTTTATTAAGATTAATGAATTTTTCAGAAAATATTTGAAACTCAATCATTTAAGAAGCTGTCAAGAAGAATCATTACTTTTACCAGTACGTATCAAAAGTTTGCTTAAACACATATCACTGGGTCAACAACAACCGAACGGAGATCTATAGCAGACAGGGATATTTTCAGTTCTTGTTTTTACATGCTTTCTATGAAGTTATTTGACAACCATTCAGTCATACCACACAAAACAGAACAGAAGACAACGAAGAGCTCAAACCAACATTGAATTAACCCTAGCCTTCCATACAGATGGAGTTAAATTCCAACTTTCACACAGATAGCAACAGCCCATGTAAAATTCTCTCCGGCCTTATACTGTTTACACGCAGAAAACCACAACCAAAGTTCAATTCACCTTAGCCTTCCACACAGATGGAGTTAAATTCCAACTTTCACACTGATAGCAACAGCCCAAGTACACAGATAGCGACAGCCCATGTAAAATTATCTCTGGTCTGATACTGCTTACACACAGAAAACCATAACGAAAGTTTAATTCACCCTAGCGTTCCATACAGATGGAGTTAAATTCCAACTTTCACACAGAGAGCAACAGCCCATGTAAAATTCTCTCCGGCCTTATACTGTTTACACACAGAAAAGCACAACCAAAGTTTAATTCACCCTAGCCTTCAATACAGATGGAGTTAAATTCCAACTTTCACACAGATAGCAATAGCCTAAGTAAAATTATCTCTGGCATTATACTGTTTATACACAGAAAACCACAACCAAAGTTCAATTCACCTTAGCCTTCCACACAGATGGAGTTAAATTCCAACTTTCACACAGATAGCAACAGCCCAAGTACACAGATAGCAACAGCCCATGTAAAATTCTCTCTGGTCTGATACTGCTTACACACAGAAAACCATAACCAAAGTTTAATTCACTCTAGCCTTCAATCCAGATGGAGTTAAATTCCAACTTTCACACAGATAGCAACAGCCCAAGTACACAGATAGCAACAGCCCAAGTAAAATTCTCTCTGGCCTTATACTGTTTACACACAGAAAACCACAACCAAAGTTTAATTCACCCTAGCCTTCCACACAGATGGAGTTAAATTCCAACTTTCACACAGATAGCAACAGCCCAAGTACACAGAGAGCAACAGCCCAAGTAAAATTCTCTCTGGCCTTATACTGTTTACCCCCAGAAAACCACAACCAAAGTTTAATTCACCCTAGCTTCCACACAGATGGAGTTAAATTCCAACTTTCACACAGATAGCAACAGCCCAAGTACACAGATAGCAACAGCCCAAGTAAAATTATCTCTGGCATTATACTGTTTATACACAGAAAACCACAACCAAAGTTTAATTCACCCTAGCCTTCCACACAGATGGAGTTAAAATTCCAACTTTCACACAGATAGCAACAGCCCAAGTACACAGATAGCAACAGCCCATGTAAAATTCTCTCTGGTCTGATACTGCTTACACACAGAAAACCATAACCAAAGTTTAATTCACCCTAGCCTTCCATACAGATGGAGTTAAATTCCAACTTTCACACAGAGAGCAACAGCCCATGTAAAATTCTCTCCGGCCTTATACTGTTTACACACAGAAAAGCACAACCAAAGTTTAATTCACCCTAGCCTTCAATACAGATGGAGTTAAATTCCAACTTTCACACAGATAGCAACAGCCTAAGTAAAATTATCTCTGGCATTATACTGTTTATACACAGAAAACCACAACCAAAGTTTAATTCACCCTAGCCTTCCACACAGATGGAGTTAAATTCCAACTTTCACACAGATAGCAACAGCCCAAGTACACAGATAGCAACAGCCCATGTAAAATTATCTCTGGTCTGATACTGCTTACACACAGAAAACCATAACCAAAGTTTAATTCACCCTTGCCTTCACTACAGATGAAATTCTCACTTGCATTATACGGCTTAAATCACTGTTTATCATTATAACTTACTAACATCATTAATTAGATAGGGGTAGCCGTGAAACGGAAAGAAACCACAGCAATTACAGACTTACAGGATTTGTCCACTTGCCGAGACCATCCACATCGCAAAGGTTTACACACTGAAAACCGTAACTAAAGTTTAAGTCCCACTGGCCTTCCATACAGACTGCCATAAATCCCCATCATGGCGCTTGTCAGAGCTCATGACCATAACGTCACTGGGTAGAAGTCAAATGTCATATGTTCTGTGTGACATTTAATGTTATAGATACCAGAGAGAAGGCTGTATGGCAGCTACAGACAGCTGAGTACATATCAACAATGCATAACTTGAACAATACCCGGTAGGTAGCATACCTTCCGAATCTGGATTTTCCTGGTACTCGCTGATGGAATGGATTTTTGGCGCTGGATTGGACTTTGTCCTGCTGATATTAAGGTGTTTTGAGCTGTGTCCAGGGACAGTCATAGCAGAGGAGGAACTCCCTACGGGTTTCCTGTCCACTTTCCTTCCATCTCCAGATCCTTAACAATAAACAATGTACATCAGATATTGGAGACTAAAAGACCACAAAAGAGCATAACCTGTACCAACAAATTAGCAGGGACACTATGACTTACTATAGAGAGCTGGAACTACCAGTAGCGGGTATGTGTACAATTTATAGTATTGTCAATGATGTGTATAGAATACTGTTGTACAATATCTCACAATGATGGTATGGAATACTGTTGTACAATATCTCACAATGATGTAAAGTTTCAATGATTGGTATCAAATACTGTTGTACAATATCTCACAATGATGTAAACTTTCAATGATTGGTATCAAATACTGTTGTACAATATCTCACAATGAAGTAAACTGTCAATGATTTGTATCGAATACTGTTGTACAATCTCACAATGATGTGAACCGTCAATGATTTGTATCGAATACTGTTGTACAATATCTAACAATGATGTAAACTTTCAATGATTGGTATCAAATACTGTTGTACAATATCTCACAATGATGTAAACTGTCAATGATGTGTATGGAATACTGTTGTACAATATCTCACAATGATGTAAACTTTCAATGATTGGTATCAAATACTGTTGTACAATATCTCACAATGATGTAAACTGTCAATGATTGGTATAGAATTCTGTTGTACAATATCTCACAATGATGTAAACTGTTAATGATTTGTATCGAATACTGTTGTACAATCTCACAATGATGTGAACTGTCAATGATTTGTATAGAATACTGTTGTACAATATCTCACAATGATGGTATGGAATACTGTTGTACAATATCTCACAATGATGGTATGGAATACTGTTGTACAATATCTCACAATGATGTAAAGTTTCAATGATTGGTATCAAATACTGTTGTACAATATCTCACAATGAAGTAAACTGTCAATGATTTGTATCGAATACTGTTGCACAATCTCACAATGATGTGAACTGTCAATGATTTGTATAGAATACTGTTGTACAATATCTCATGATGATGTAAACTGTCAATGATGTGTATAGAATACTGTTGTACAATATCTCACAATGATGTAAAGTTTCAATGATTGGTATCAAATACTGTTGTACAATATCTCACAACGAAGTAAACTGTCAATGATTTGTATCGAATACTGTTGTACAATCTCACAATGATGTGAACTGTCAATGATTTGTATAGATTACTGTTGTACAATATCTCATGATGATGTAAACTGTCAATGATGTGTATGGAATTCTGTTGTACAATATCTCACAATGATGTAAACTGTTAATGATTTGTATCGAATACTGTTGTACAATCTCACAATGATGTGAACCGTCAATGATTTGTATCGAATACTGTTGTACAATATCCCACAATGATGTAAACTGTCAATGATTTGTATCGAATACTGTTGCACAATCTCACAATGATGTGAACTGTCAATGATTTGTATCGAATACTGTTGTGCAATATCTCACAATGATGTAAACTGTCAATGATCTGTATAGAATACTGTTGTACAATATCTCACAATGATGGTATGGAATACTGTTGTACAATATCTCACAATGATGGTATGGAATACTGTTGTACAATATCTCACAATGATGTAAAGTTTCAATGATTGGTATCAAATACTGTTGTACAATATCTCACAACGAAGTAAACTGTCAATGATTTGTATCGAATACTGTTGTACAATCTCACAATGATGTGAACCGTCAATGATTTGTATCGAATACTGTTGTACAATCTCACAATGATGTGAACCGTCAATGATTTGTATCGAATACTGTTGTACAATATCACAATGATGTGAACCGTCAATGATTTGTATCGAATACTGTTGTACAATCTCACAATGATGTGAACCGTCAATGATTTGTATCGAATACTGTTGTACAATATCACAATGATGTGAACCGTCAATGATTTGTATCGAATACTGTTGTACAATCTCACAATGATGTGAACTGTCAATGATTTGTATAGATTACTGTTGTACAATATCTCATGATGATGTAAACTGTCAATGATGTGTATCGAATACTGTTGTACAATATCTCACAATGATGTTAACTGTCAATGATTTGTATCAAATACTGTTGTACAATATCTCACAATGATGTTAACTGTCAATAATTTGTATCAAATACTGTTGTACAATATCTCACAATGATGTGAACTGTCAATGATTTGTATAGAATACTGTTGTACAATATCTCATGATGATGTAAACTGTCAATGATGTGTATGGAATACTGTTGTACAATATCTCACAATGATGTTAACTGTCAATGATTTGTATCGAATACTGTTGTACAATATCTCACAATGATGTAAACTGTCAATGATTGGTATAGAATACTGTTGTACAATATCTCATTTTTAAAAGTATAAAACTGCCTTCATAGGACTGAGGATGCCCCCATAAATATAACTTGATCATAAACTATAGCTTTCTTTAATGACTAGTTCTGAGTTAACTCAATCACCCCTGACATTTCACAATGAACTATTCCAACCTTTGAATCCGAAGAGTTTAAATGTGTCTTCAGGGGAGAATGATTTACTTATAGAAAAAAGCACACATTGTGCATATCATACCAATCCCATGAAATAGAAATGTAGGTATAACCTGGTTATAACTTTTACTTACGAACTACACCTTACTTGTGAGAATTAAAACGTATGGGTACATCGGTTCAGGCTACATTATAATGTATGGGTACATCGGTTCAGGCTACATTGTAATGTATGGGTACATCGGTTCAGGCTACATTATAATGTATGGGTACATCGGTTCAGGCTACATTATCATGTATGGGTACATCGGTTCAGGCTACATTATAATGTATGAGCCACCTATATATGTCAGACTTGAAGTAAGGTTTGGATGCTACATGTCTCCACTTTTACCTTGATTCCTTTTCCCTCCAACACCAGCATCCTTTGACTGACTCTCAGACGCTGTCAGAAGTAAACTGAAACACAAAGGTACTCCAATACAACACCAGCAATCACTCAGCTTGTTTACTACTGTAGTTGATATTTAAAATATTAACTTTATTTCTTTTACAACAATTATGATTCAAGTCATATAACTTATATTAATCACTATTGTGGAGTACCTGGAGAAAACCCCGGTGGTCGGGTAGGTGATCACCTAATACCTTTTCACGCCTGATTGCGGAAAGTAACCTCGGCCACCTTGGTGCAAGACCGGTGTGTTATCCACTGTGCCACCCCACCACCACATATTTAAAGCAGCAGCAAATTGATTTAATTTTTCAAATAAAGTGTATATATATGTAATACTTTAAAATCATTTGATTGCTTAAATGGAACTTTAAGGCTAAAAATTCCATTCAAGCAACCAAATAATTGTAACATTATATTCATTAAAACCTTATAACTGCTCTCTATGAGTACATAAATCCAGCATAGATCTATATGTGTTAAACTCCCGAAGATATTGTTTTTAAACTACATGAGTATATGATAATGCTATCATAGCCAATAATGAAGAGATGCCACCTTACCTGACCATTTTCTTCTTGTCATTTCTAACTTTATTCTGTAATCTCTGAAAACGCTCTCGTTCTTCTTCCTCATATGTTCTGTAACATGACCCAAAATACATGGTAAGGAGGGACAGATGGATATTTTTCATTAACACACATTTCAAATCTGAAACAATGAATTAAAGATGAGGACAAGCATTATTTCCATCAAAACCCGGTTTAGAGGTCTGTCACAGTAACAGTGTGTACCTCCGATGCCAAGAGTGAAACACATGCCTAAAAGCAAATTTGGGTTCAAATCATTTTCTCTACAATACACAGATGACTTTGGCTGTGGGTTTTTTAATATTATGAATATTGCTGTTCTTTGAAAAAAATTGAGGTTGATGTGGCAGTAGTGGTTGACTGTTCAGAAAATACTAGCATTCACCTTATGTAGTAGAGAGTGTTGTCAAAATCTGGTAATAGCGTTCGCTTAATATTAACGTATTAAAATGTGGACATTTAACTCTAAATTAAAATGCCACAATATAACGCCACATTATTTGAGGCATAAAAGAATATACTGACACAAGATGATATATATTCAGGTCACATGACTGTTTGTAGATCTAGGTCAGAAGTGTACACTTTTACTTATCTGATCCATTGGGCTTGTAGATTTTATCTTGTAACAAGAAACAAGAGGCCCAATGGGCCTGTATCGCTCACCTGTTATTAATCTAACACTTGTAATATTAAGATTTTATAAGAAACTATTAAAAGATTTAAACATATGACGCCTCTGACCTTGATTGTTGAACAAGGACATTAGGTTGAAAGTGGATCAAGGTCATTCATTTGAACTAACATGGTAGTCCTTCATCCATGCATGCTACAGGCCCAATTTCAGTACCCTGGCCCTTTTGCTTATTGAAAAGAAGTCGCTTGAAGATTTTACAACATTTGACCCCTGTGACCTTGAAAGTTGGTCAAGGTCATTCATTTGAATAAACTTGATAGTCCTTCATCCCAGCATGCTACAGGCCCAATATCAGTACCCTGGGCCTTTTGGTTATTGAGAAGAAGTTGTTTGAAGATTTTAACATATTTGACCCCTGTGACCTTGATAGTGGGTCAAGGTCATTTATTCGAACAAACTTGGTAGCCCTTGATCCCAGCATGCTACTGGCCAAATATCATCTTCCTAGGCCTTTTGGTTATTGAGAAGAAGTTGTTTAAAGCAAAAAGTTGACGCCGGATGGACGCCAGACGCCGGATGCCGGACGGCCGACGGACCCCACACCATAACATAAGCTCACTTGCCCTTCGGGCAGGTGAGCTAAAAATCTTTAACATTCATTTTTTATAATAAGAGGGCAAATAATATTTTTCAAAATCTTTCTGTGAACTAGTACTCTAAACAGAACATTCTACACCCATGCCTGGTGGGATGGTCACAAAAAAATGTGCTCACCGGATCCTTTCTTCCATAGCAGCCTCCTCCTGCAGCAGATAGCTACTCAAGTGCTGCTGTATATTATTGAGCTGAGATTGTAGAGATTCATAGTTACGGGAAGAAGAATCTGAAATCAGACATGTCCTTACAATCACTTCTGACTACAGTATGTGTACATAGAATGACAGCAACACAACATCATGGAATGCATGCAGTACTGCTTTAATGGAACTATGACCTCAAGTTTGGTCATTAATAACTCAATATCAGTACTGCTTTAATGGAACCATGAACACAAGTTTGGTCATTAATAACTCAATATCAGTACTGCTTTAATGGAACCATGAACTCAATTTTGGTCATTAATAACTCAATATCAGTACTGCTTTAATGGAACCATGAACTCAAGTTTGGTCATTAATAACTCAATATCAGTACTGCTTTAATGGAACCATGAACTCAAATTTGGTCATTAATAACTCAATATCAAGTAGACACTATAAACAAAGGGGCATAACTCATATAGTTATAAACAAATAACTTTTAACACACTTCTGATAAACTTTCTTCTCCAAACCGACATTAGTTTTGAAAAATATAAGTTTATGAATATGTTATCTAAGAACATAACATCCCATGGGGCATGTATTAATTTTTGGTAACTATTTCTAAACTTTAACTTTCAGTGTAACTAAACCCGCAGCCAATAAAGATGATATACATTTTAATTGATGTGAAAGTTTAATGCAGTGAAAATTGTATCTACACTGTATAATTTCTTCTTTAAATTGCAACCAATTTCTTGTGCCTCTCTCCAAAAAATGTCCTGTGTAAATTTCAGTACACTAACATTAAATAAACATATATTGATCACACACTGCATGCCCATAATCCATAAAGGGCTTTAACTAACACAAAAAATATGGGAGTATAATGTTATAAATGTGATGTTGATGACATTTCAAGTTTCCTATTAATATAATCTTGGTGTTTGGTTGTATATTAAACAGGGACTGAAAAAACCAAAATAGTTTACCTGGCATACTGCCAGAATGGATGTCACTTTCTGGTGTAGTCATGACGATACCAAACACCTGTGAGAAGTCAGGTGACTGATGTAACCTCTCTATCACCAGAGAATCCGTCTATAAATAAAAACAACCAATAATATATACACTTACTTAAATCTGTGTCGAAACAAAAGTTGTCTTTTGAAAAATCTTTGACTGTATATACAAATGTATCTTATTTCAAAATTATATAGAGCTTTTCGACTGTATATAATACAAATGTACCTTATTTCAAAATCATATAGACATTAAACCAATAGACAATTAAAGTTAACTTTGTATTTTCATGACTAATATATTTATTTTGATTTAAGTACTAGATAGCATTTTTATTTCTTCCAGCTTTTTTACCTATCAATAACCTGGGACGTGCCTTTTCAAGATAAACTAACTTCAATAAGATTGGCTTAAGTGTTTATACAGCATCACACATAAAAATATATTATTTTGCACTGACACTTCTTATTCAATACCGTAATATTTTGACAAGACTTTAGGTGGTTTAGAATTATATTACATTAAATATTTCAAACAGAAATCTTCAAAGAATACATGTTGTCCAGAAATTTTGCCATGTGACCTGATGAAAGACATTTCTGACTGTTCAAAGTTTGTTGAATGCCTGCTTATTGCCCGAAACATTTGTCACTGACCAATGCCTTGAGTGGTCTCCCCTTGGTTCAATACCTGAAGCATGTCACTGACTAGCACCTTGGGTGGTCTCCCCTTGGTACAAACAGCATGAGTATCTATTCCACAACACAGACAGCGATGTAACACCCAGTCTCCCAACTGTCGCTTGTGGAACAGGTAGGACTGCTCCTGAAACAACAACAACATTTTAATTAGTTATTTGATAAAATGAATTTCAAGGAACAAAGGATATGAAACCTATAGAAACCAAACAACTTTGGGGGTATTATTTATTTCAGAATTGATGGTAAGGATTGATTTGTTTGTGTCTAATGTCCTATTTGAATTAAGAGCTTTGGACGAGCCAGGTTTTGATAGTTAAAAGAAACATGAGTACTCAGAGAAAATCCAACGACCTGCGGCCAGCATCTGACGACTGCCCCACATAGACCTGGAACCCATGATGTGATGGTTGAGGGGTAGTGACCGTAGATGGCCAGATGCCTTAACCACTCAGCCCCCATAACCCCTAGGCTAAGGGTAAGATATTGGGTGACAATGAAAATGAAAATAGCAAACAAATACATAATAATTAAAGCTATGTACCTTAAGGATCACTGTCCTATACCACTGCACTGTAGTTTTTTCCTATCAACAGTAATCTCCCCTTAACATCAGTTTACATATATAACTATAGCACAGTTGGGACAGAACACTTCTTTACCAGGTAGCTCAGGCTGTTAGAGCAATAGTATATAACACTCTGTTTACCAGGTAGCTCAGTCTGTTAGAGCAATAGTATATAACACTCTGTTTACCAGGTAGCTCAGTCTGTTAGAGCAATAGTATATAACACTCTGTTTACCAGGTAGCTCAGTCTGTTAGAGCAATAGTATATAACACTCTGTTTACCAGGTAGCTCAGTCTGTTAGAGCAATAGTATATAACACTCTGTTTACCAGGTAGCTCAGTCTGTTAGAGCAATAGTATATAACACTCTGTTTACCAGGTAGCTCAGTCTGTTAGAGCAATAGTATATAACACTCTGTTTACCAGGTAGCTCAGTCTGTTAGAGCAATAGTATATAACACTCTGTTTACCAGGTAGCTCAGTCTGTTAGAGCAATAGTATATAACACTCTGTTTACCAGGTAGCTCAGTCTGTTAGAGCAATAGTATATAACACTCTGTTTACCAGGTAGCTCAGTCTGTTAGAGCAATAGTATATAACACTCTGTTTACCAGGTAGCTCAGTCTGTTAGAGCAATAGTATATAACACTCTGTTTACCAGGTAGCTCAGTCTGTTAGAGCAATAGTATATAACACTCTGTTTACCAGGTAGCTCAGTCTGTTAGAGCAATAGTATATAACACTCTGTTTACCAGGTAGCTCAGTCTGTTAGAGCAATAGTATATAACACTCTGTTTACCAGGTAGCTCAGTCTGTTAGAGCAATAGTATATAACACTCTGTTTACCAGGTAGCTCAGTCTGTTAGAGCAATAGTATATAACACTCTGTTTACCAGGTAGCTCAGTCTGTTAGAGCAATAGTATATAACACTCTGTTTACCAGGTAGCTCAGTCTGTTAGAGCAATAGTATATAACACTCTGTTTACCAGGTAGCTCAGTCTGTTAGAGCAATAGTATATAACACTCTGTTTACCAGGTAGCTCAGTCTGTTAGAGCAATAGTATATAACACTCTGTTTACCAGGTAGCTCAGTCTGTTAGAGCAATAGTATATAACACTCTGTTTACCAGGTAGCTCAGTCTGTTAGAGCAATAGTATATAACACTCTGTTTACCAGGTAGCTCAGTCTGTTAGAGCAATAGTATATAACACTCTGTTTACCAGGTAGCTCAGTCTGTTAGAGCAATAGTATATAACACTCTGTTTACCAGGTAGCTCAGTCTGTTAGAGCAATAGTATATAACACTCTGTTTACCAGGTAGCTCAGTCTGTTAGAGCAATAGTATATAACACTCTGTTTACCAGGTAGCTCAGTCTGTTAGAGCAATAGTATATAACACTCTGTTTACCAGGTAGCTCAGTCTGTTAGAGCAATAGTATATAACACTCTGTTTACCAGGTAGCTCAGTCTGTTAGAGCAATAGTATATAACACTCTGTTTACCAGGTAGCTCAGTCTGTTAGAGCAATAGTATATAACACTCTGTTTACCAGGTAGCTCAGTCTGTTAGAGCAATAGTATATAACACTCTGTTTACCAGGTAGCTCAGTCTGTTAGAGCAATAGTATATAACACTCTGTTTACCAGGTAGCTCAGTCTGTTAGAGCAATAGTATATAACACTCTGTTTACCAGGTAGCTCAGTCTGTTAGAGCAATAGTATATAACACTCTGTTTACCAGGTAGCTCAGTCTGTTAGAGCAATAGTATATAACACTCTGTTTACCAGGTAGCTCAGTCTGTTAGAGCAATAGTATATAACACTCTGTTTACCAGGTAGCTCAGTCTGTTAGAGCAATAGTATATAACACTCTGTTTACCAGGTAGCTCAGTCTGTTAGAGCAATAGTATATAACACTCTGTTTACCAGGTAGCTCAGTCTGTTAGAGCAATAGTATATAACACTCTGTTTACCAGGTAGCTCAGTCTGTTAGAGCAATAGTATATAACACTCTGTTTACCAGGTAGCTCAGTCTGTTAGAGCAATAGTATATAACACTCTGTTTACCAGGTAGCTCAGTCTGTTAGAGCAATAGTATATAACACTCTGTTTACCAGGTAGCTCAGTCTGTTAGAGCAATAGTATATAACACTCTGTTTACCAGGTAGCTCAGTCTGTTAGAGCAATAGTATATAACACTCTGTTTACCAGGTAGCTCAGTCTGTTAGAGCAATAGTATATAACACTCTGTTTACCAGGTAGCTCAGTCTGTTAGAGCAATAGTATATAACACTCTGTTTACCAGGTAGCTCAGTCTGTTAGAGCAATAGTATATAACACTCTGTTTACCAGGTAGCTCAGTCTGTTAGAGCAATAGTATATAACACTCTGTTTACCAGGTAGCTCAGTCTGTTAGAGCAATAGTATATAACACTCTGTTTACCAGGTAGCTCAGTCTGTTAGAGCAATAGTATATAACACTCTGTTTACCAGGTAGCTCAGTCTGTTAGAGCAATAGTATATAACACTCTGTTTACCAGGTAGCTCAGTCTGTTAGAGCAATAGTATATAACACTCTGTTTACCAGGTAGCTCAGTCTGTTAGAGCAATAGTATATAACACTCTGTTTACCAGGTAGCTCAGTCTGTTAGAGCAATAGTATATAACACTCTGTTTACCAGGTAGCTCAGTCTGTTAGAGCAATAGTATATAACACTCTGTTTACCAGGTAGCTCAGTCTGTTAGAGCAATAGTATATAACACTCTGTTTACCAGGTAGCTCAGTCTGTTAGAGCAATAGTATATAACACTCTGTTTACCAGGTAGCTCAGTCTGTTAGAGCAATAGTATATAACACTCTGTTTACCAGGTAGCTCAGTCTGTTAGAGCAATAGTATATAACACTCTGTTTACCAGGTAGCTCAGTCTGTTAGAGCAATAGTATATAACACTCTGTTTACCAGGTAGCTCAGTCTGTTAGAGCAATAGTATATAACACTCTGTTTACCAGGTAGCTCAGTCTGTTAGAGCAATAGTATATAACACTCTGTTTACCAGGTAGCTCAGTCTGTTAGAGCAATAGTATATAACACTCTGTTTACCAGGTAGCTCAGTCTGTTAGAGCAATAGTATATAACACTCTGTTTACCAGGTAGCTCAGTCTGTTAGAGCAATAGTATATAACACTCTGTTTACCAGGTAGCTCAGTCTGTTAGAGCAATAGTATATAACACTCTGTTTACCAGGTAGCTCAGTCTGTTAGAGCAATAGTATATAACACTCTGTTTACCAGGTAGCTCAGTCTGTTAGAGCAATAGTATATAACACTCTGTTTACCAGGTAGCTCAGTCTGTTAGAGCAATAGTATATAACACTCTGTTTACCAGGTAGCTCAGTCTGTTAGAGCAATAGTATATAACACTCTGTTTACCAGGTAGCTCAGTCTGTTAGAGCAATAGTATATAACACTCTGTTTACCAGGTAGCTCAGTCTGTTAGAGCAATAGTATATAACACTCTGTTTACCAGGTAGCTCAGTCTGTTAGAGCAATAGTATATAACACTCTGTTTACCAGGTAGCTCAGTCTGTTAGAGCAATAGTATATAACACTCTGTTTACCAGGTAGCTCAGTCTGTTAGAGCAATAGTATATAACACTCTGTTTACCAGGTAGCTCAGTCTGTTAGAGCAATAGTATATAACACTCTGTTTACCAGGTAGCTCAGTCTGTTAGAGCAATAGTATATAACACTCTGTTTACCAGGTAGCTCAGTCTGTTAGAGCAATAGTATATAACACTCTGTTTACCAGGTAGCTCAGTCTGTTAGAGCAATAGTATATAACACTCTGTTTACCAGGTAGCTCAGTCTGTTAGAGCAATAGTATATAACAATCTGTTTACCAGGTAGCTCAGTCTGTTAGAGCAATAGTATATAACACTTCTGTTTACCAGGTAGCTCAGTCTGTTAGAGCAATAGTATATAACAATCTGAAGACCGGGGTTTGAATCTTGGCCTTGCCTTGTTGAATTCTGACACTCAGAACACTGATGATGATTTATATTTTTTATTTCATATCTATTACATCTCATAAATTTCACTTATTTATCAATGCTACAGTCATTTTCCAATACTTAGTTACAGTTTAGGGCAGTGGAACAGGTCTCTTTAAAGTTAAGTTTTAAAAGTCTCAAGTTTTCACTATTACATTAGTCAAAAGTTCATGACACACCGGTTAATGTTGGAGCTTACATTTGTTTTGGCATCATTTGTAGAGAACAAAATCAAACCTATATATAATGCACTCACAGAATACAAGTCATTCTCTGTGGCAACATATGGCGTTTTATCTATTTAAGCAGCTTATACTGAATAATATAAATATGGATTGGGTCATTTAATTTCACTATGAATGTATTTGAGAATAGCTCAATTGATAGTATGGTACAGAATATAGGATAATGCTACCACACTACATTAAAACAGTTTGTGAAAGAGCATGTCATCATACTTTTATGATAATCTTCAGAGAAGACATGTGCTTGGTTAAGCTGCATATAG